CAGGCATAATCGCAAATGTGACATTTATACCTGTTTAAAGCATCGTGCGAGTGCATCGCCGCGAAGTGCGATTTGAGATTCCCTTTAACATTCGTTGCGTAATCGCAACTGGCACATTTAAAATCTTTAGAAATTTTGTGTTTTAAGAGATGGTGTTGAAAATTTCGCTTAATTTTTGTTTCATAGTCACAACTTGAACATTTCAGATTTTTATAATGTTTCAATGTGTGTTTTACGAGATTGTGTTGTCTGAAATTCCATTTAATATTCGTTCGATAATCACAAATGGTACATTTAAAATCTTTTGAAACCTTGTGTAGTACGAGATGTTTTTTTAAAGAAGGTTTATATTTTGAAGCAAAATTACAATGTGCACACCTGAAATCTTTGGAAGGTTTGTGCATTCTGAGATGTTGTTTCAAATTCATTTTTGTATTTGTTTCAAAAGGACAATTGTGACATTTGAAATCCTTAGAAAGATTATGTATTAGAAGATGCCGTTTCAATGTAGTTGGACGATTTGTAACAAAATCGCAAATGTTACATTTAAGATCTTTGGAAACGTGCACATATGTTGGATGATGTTTCAATGAGCTTTCAAACGATGTGGAATGCATTAAGAGATGAATTTTCAAAGCACGTTTCCAGTTTGTGGCAAACTTACAATGAGCACATCTAAATAAATCTTTAGAAATTTTGTGCGTTAAGAGGTGAATTTTTAAAGTACTTTTAAAGTTTGTTGCAAAATTACAATGTGCACACTTCAAATCTTTAGACGTCTTGTGCGTTTGGAGATGTCTTCTAAAATTCACTTTCATATGTGTCGCGTAATCACAAATGTCACATTTAAAATCTTTTGCGACGTTATGCGTCAGATGATGTGCTTTCAATGTACTTTGACGGTTTGTGGCAAAATTGCAAATGTTACATTTAAAGTCTCTTGAAAGGTTATGCGTTAGAGAATGTGATTCCAATCTACCTTTAATGTTTGTAGCAAAATCACAAACAGCACATTTAAAGTTTGCCGGTCGACTCCACTGGTGTGTCGACACATGTTTTTCAAATTTGTATTTATGATTTGTTTCATAATCACAAACCTTACACGTAAAATTGGAAACCTTGTGAGTTAACAGGTGGCTTTGAAATTTGTGTCTATAATGTGATGCATAATCGCAAATGTCACATTTAAACGCTTTAGCAAGACGGTGCACCAAAAGGTGTTTTTCAAAGTTTGATTCATTATCCGCCACGTAACGACAAAGGCCACATTTTATAGTTTGAATATTTGGCAAATTGTTTTGTTGCTGCACTCGTTCTTCTTTCACAGTTACCAAAACATCATTGCTTATAAAAACATTTTTTCCGAGAGACAAATTTATGTCGTCTTCTTTTTCCGGTTCAACTTTAACAACGCCATCAACCATTACTGCCTATAAATATGTGTAAATGCTACGATTAGAAACTTAGGACTTACCTCCATCGTAGCCATGCCTTAGGACGGGTATTAAAATAAATCGAACAAAGCTAATAGTAATGGACTCCGTAATGGATGCACTAGTAGTTTCAATTGGGGAAAATTTGTTGGTGTTGAACACAACTTAAAACTAAACTAACCTGCGACTCAGCATTATGAAGCAAGAACATCTAACTTCTGTGTTACGAAAAAGAGCCGATTGCGATGGAAATGCCGTTTTTATACACATGTATGGATGTGGCTCTTGTACATGACGATGTTTAGTAAGAGTTGTAGGGACCTCCCTGTATGTACAATATAATAATAGCGTTTTCGATTGGCAAAACTCGTACTGCACGAGTGTTGCACGAGAAACTGAAGAAATCCATATGAAAATTGCTCTCAATGGAACATAAATATTCGTAAATATTTGTTGTCATTTGTCCATAACCTCATTTTAGATGTAGGTAATCGACAAATCTCTATTCTAAAAAATTACAAACGATTTCAGTATTATTTATGATAAACGATGAGGAATATAAATTTGAAATTCCTGTAAAGGACCAATTTTTGGCGTTCAGTTTAATGAGTAAGTGCAACTTTTTGTAAAATAGAAGCTATTTCACCATCTTCGCTATCGCAAGATGACGACAAAAAACTCTCCAATGCAAGAAACAAATTCAAATTGCTGCACGTTTGTTTTGAAAATTTGTTAACTAGTAGCTCCACGAGCTCTCGGACCTCGTGCGTTGAAATTTGCACTGAGTGCGTAATTGTTGCATCACATTTGCCAATGGAACACAGAAAATTGCCCTAAAACTACCAATAGAACGTAAAAATTGCACTCGTGCAGCACGAGTTTTGCCAATCGAAAACGCTATAAGGTATTTCACAGTGTATATTTGGGGGCATGTGTTGTACTAACACTGTAAATTAAGTGCTTAAATTCCGTGCTATTTTACTTCTGACAATTAAATCTCAATTAGATAGATAACCTGCTTAGTAAAGAACGGTTAAACACATCGGCGCCTTATTTAAACAATTTAAAATGTCCCGAGCGGCTACAGAGAGTAACTTCGGTGATGTTGGTTGTTTGTTTTCGAAAAGAAGCAAAACGAACTGTGACATATCTTATACACGAGACTCTGTAAATACTGCAAATGCAAGGAATAGGTACAAACCGCAGTTACTCTCTGTAGCATCATTTACGTCGGCAATGAATACTTCTACACATTCCGATGATTTGGTATTTAAAACACTGTCGAAAAATAATACATTTGCACCTCATACAGGATTACAACAAAGAGCACTTTGTTATCCATTACTGCTGCACACGTTTGAGCGTTGAATGAAAAATAATTAATAATTAATAATTTAACAGTCTAAGGTTAAGCTGTACAAAATTTAGACATTATGTTATCCCTCTAGAGGCGCTGTAGGCCAGTCATTGTGGATCTTTACCTGGAAATAAGTCCGGAAGTTTTGAAACTTTGTAGGTTCATAGGTTTTGGGATCTACAACTAAAATTCACAAAATGCACAATCCGAGATGCCGCCGGCGCCGCCATCTTGCCAAGATGGCGCCCAAAAACAATTTTTTGCAAATATCTCCAAAACTATGCGTTTTTCGAGAAAATATGTAGAGCGCAAAATTAAAGAGGAGGAAGTTTCCTATAAGTTCCTAGTAAATATTTATCACGAAATAATGGCACATCTTTTATTCAATTAATCGATTAATTCATTAATCAATCCATGTTAATAATTTATGATCAATTAATTTATTTATTTATGTAGGGACCTTTAAAAACCGAAAAAAAAGTGAAACCGGAACCGGTACCGAAACCCTTAAGAAATAATTCTACCTAAATAGTGCGAGACCGTAACCTATACCTATTTTATATAGGTTTCAACCCTCTGGATCTTGGTGCCCGCCGCGGGGGAACTTTTTTTGTATGTACAGGGTAAGTCAACAATTGCGCGGAGTAACTTAATGCCTTGAAGATAAGATTTTTCGATTGAATGCTTCTGTATTATGATATGGTTGAATATTCTCCACATTTTAAAAATATTTGGAATTATACAGGGTGCGCTCACAAAGTAGTGCGCTAAAATGGTAAATTTTTTTTAATGAAACCCCTGTATTTGAATGCATATTTGAATTCTACGTGTAATTGTACGACTTTTTTTTATTATATGGTTAATATTCGAAAAAAGATAATTCGTTTTGTAAGAAAAATTTGGCATTGGCAAGCGTCAGTTTATTGTCAAAATTATTACTTGAATTTTGATTCCAGGTTCTATATCCTTTATCCTGTGTAAAGTAAAAGCAAAGAGATTATGGGTAGTCTTTGCTAAAAGTCAAATAAATAGATCTACTATGAAACATTAAAAAATAGCATACAGGGTGTTTTTTTGTAGGTCCAAAGTTACAAATTGTCATATTAAAAAATCTCACTTATTTAAATGGAACACCCTGTATATTTTTCTGTCATCTTTTAGCTGCTCCAAAAGCGTTCAACTTTTGATAATCATGTCCTATAGCTATCTTTGATAGTTTTCGAAACATCTTGGTTTTCCTGGTTTTTTTATATTCTAATCTTAAATATACGTTAAGTATATGTAATTTACCTACTAATGAGGCGGCCATGCAAAAAAAAACGAAAATCATATCAATTAATTTATTTTTCAAACAATTCAACTTCAAGTTCAAAAACAACAATAGTAACAAAGGTTTATTGTGCGTCGTTAACCAACGAAACCATGACTTTGTTTCTATTGGTTATTTCATACTGATCTAATGATAGTAAACTAATGATAATAATGATTGTATAAATCCACCATAAATTTCTGTTAAATGGATTTTCATTACGTTGGAAAAAAATGTGCAAACACAGTATGAGTCCATTAGAAAATTCATCTAGCCTTCCGCGAAACCCATACAAATTTAAAAAGCGCTTTTAAACCCGGATGTTTTTCCAACGCCAACTGTCGTGCACTTTCATAATAAATTTCGCGATAAAACTACGGATAAACATTTCTAATATTTACCCTGGTAAACGGTAGATTGCAATCAATTCCGGTCGAGCTGTTTGTCCACACGTATCTTTCTTACACGCCATAGATTTATTATTTATTCAGTCGAGCACTCAAACGCGAGTGATTGCTTCAAAACAACCCTCGCGGACATTTCGCACCGCTCGACGATGTTGGAAAGACGGAACGTTTTCATTTCCGACGTGATGAAGGAGGCCTCCTCCCCAATGGTCTACATCGGCCGATTTTGGGGCCTCTTTCCGCTCACCATCGAGAAACGCGGTCCGTATTTCACGCTGAGGTGGTCGCAGAAGTACTCGCTCTACAGTTTTCTGCTGGGGGCCGCGCTCGGTAAGCGTCGCTCGCCTCCTGGCCCCGTTTATCGTATTCTTTCAGTTTGCTTGACCGTCCACGGGATGGTGAACGACCTGCAGGCCGGCAGCACTAAGTCAATTCGCATGAAGCAGCAAACTGGAAAGTACGTCACAATTGGGGACATCAGCATTGTGGTCCTTATCGTGTTCATCGGAATATTTGGAACTCCGTTTAGGGCCAACGATTTCTTCTCGTTCGTCGACGCCATGAACGAGGTAGGGCCGATCTGTGCGTCTCGGGTTAAATTAATCTTGACAGGTCGATTCGATCATCGTGATTTCCGACGCCAAAAGGGCGAGGAGGGTATCGATTTTGCGACTGTGCACGGTCTTAACGGCGGCGACCGCCATACTCATATCCGATTTGGCTATGTGGTGGACCATAGGTGATCAGTCCCAGGGTAGCGATTTTTTAATCGGTAACTACGTCCCGTTCTACACCTCTTACTACGTCATCCTTTTCCTCGAGTGCCAATATTGGCACTTGCTCTACTGCATCAAGCGAAGGTTGCAGCTGCTGAACGCCTGCTTGAAAATCAACGGCGTGACTCCGGAAGATGCCATTCGAGGTGTCATCAACAAACCCTTTAGCCTCTTTAGGAAGACGCAGAAATCGGAACCGAAGGTGATTAGCGTAATCGATGCGCTTGGTAGGCAGAAGACCATCGTGGACATCTTCTTCATACGCAACGGTAAGTACGACCCCACCGAAACTACCTAGGTACCTCTCGAAAATCTTCAGCGGGCAAGTTGCAAGACAAATCGGTCAACGACTACATTGTGAAACTGACGCGGGTCTACCTGAAGCTGTGCGATGCGGCGGACTGCGTCAACAACTGCTGCGGTCTGAGCATTCTGGTACCTATGTGACCCGGTTATTTGCCCGTGCTCAAAATGGCGACGGTTTCAGATTATTTTAACCAGCTGTCTTTTGCACCTGGTGGTTACCCCCTACTTCTTGGTCTTGGAGATTTTGGGTAGGAAAAACGTTCTGGTCGCGACCATACAAATGGTGTGGATATTTACGCATTTAACTCGTCTGGTGATCATCGTCGAAGCGTGTTACGCCTGCACGTCGGAGGCGAGGAAAATACGTCCGTCTATTTGTAAGTTGCTCTGCTACGATTTCGACGAAGACACGAGGAAACAGGTTTTAACAATAATGTTTTGTAACAATTCCGCAAGTGGCTGTTGTAGCTGGAGCTGTTCGCGGCTGAGTTGAATCACCGGCAGATTGAGTTTACTGCTTGTGGGCTCGTCAGAATAGATCGAGCTTTAATAACATCGGTACGTATTCGCCGAGGTAAATGCAGTAAGTACAAAATTATGTCATCGCACTTACAAGATTTTGCTCATATTTTCCTAACTAGCCTCTTTGTTAGACACAATTTGGCCAATCGGGTAAAAGGCAATACGATATCAGTCCCCGCCAATTTTCATTTCATGACACATTATCAATAGGATACGAATATCTATCGCATACGATTTTCAGTAAGGGAATTTTTGGACACGGGAACGCGACTTTTAATCCGGCTCCTATTCAATAGCACTGATCCTTGAATTAGTAGAATCGATTGGCATCGCTGCTTCTGTTCGTTGTTGGCGCATTTTCCGAAAAATTCCCCTAAAAGGTACACGGATACAAAAGTGAAGCATATCCATTTCCGTATGTAGTTGCTATGTTAGACAATAAACCTTAGGCTTGATATGTAATCGAACCCCGTTGTTTGTAAACATTTTATAGATCTCTTAAAACCCTAACAGTCAGACCGACAGACAAAGCCATTACATAAAGAGCATTTTCCGAAAAATTCCCCTAAAAGGTACACGGATACAAAAGTGACGCTTATCCATGTCCGTAGATAGTTGCTATGTTAGACAATAAACCTTAGGCTTGATATGTAATAGAACCCCGTTGTTTGTAAACATTTTGTAGATCTCCTACAACCCTCTCCTAGATTCCGTATGCTACTATGGACTTCGTAAATAACGTACATTTCATAAAACGCTCACATTTTGTTGATTTTGAAAAAGGGAATTTTTGAACACGGAAACACGACTTTTAATCCGGCTCATATTCAATAGCACTTATCCTTGAGTTCGTAGAATCTCTTTTCGTTCTCGAGTTAGACGAGCTACTAACGGACAGACCAACAGACAAACCCATTACATAAGGGGCATTTTACAAAAAATTCCCCTAAAAGGCACACGGATACAAAAGTGATGCATATCCATTTCCGTAGGGAAAAACGTACATTCCATAAAACGAGCACATTTTGTCGATTTTGAAAAAGAGAATTTTTGGACACGGAAACACGACTTTTATTCCGGCTCATATTCAATAGCACTGATCCTTGAATTCGTAGACTCAATCGGCTTCGCTGTCTCTTTTCGTTCTCGAGTTAGACGAGCGACTAACGGACAGACCGACAGACAAAGCCATTACATAAGTGGCATTTTGCGAAAAATTACCCTAAAAGGTACACGAATTGAAAAGTGACGCTTATCCATTTCCGTACATAGTTGCTATATTAGACAATAAACCTTAGGATTCATTAGTAATAGAACCCCGTAGTTCGTAAACATTTTGTAGATCTCCCACAACCCTTTCCTAGATTCCGTATGCTACTATAAACTTCGTAAACAACGTACATTCCATAAAACTAGTAGATTTTGTCGATTTTGAAACAGGGAATTTTTGGACACGGAAACACGACTTCTAATCCGGCTCATATTCAATAGCACATATCCTTGAACTCGTAGAATCGATTGGTATCGCTGTCTCTTTTCGTTCTCGAGTTAGACGAGCGACTAACGGACAGACCGACAGACAAAGCCATTACATAAGGGGCATTTTCCGAAAAATTCCCCTAAAAGGTACACGGATGCAAAAATGAAGCATATCCATTTCCGTAGGTAGTTGCTATGTTAGACAATAAACCTTAGGTATCATATGTAATAGAACCCCGTTATTCGTAAACATTTTGTAGATCTCCTACAACCCTCTCTTAGATTCCGTATGCTACTATAGCATTCGTAAACAACGTACATTCCACAAAACGCGCACATTTTGTCGATTTTGAAAAAGGAAATTTTCGGACACGGAAACACGACTTTTAATCCGGCTCATATTCAATAGCACTTATCCTTGAATTTGTAGAATCTCTTTTCGTTCTCGAGTTAGACGAGCTACTAACGGACAGACCGACAGACAAACCCATTACATAAGGGGCATTTTACAAAAAATTCCCCTAAAGGGCACACGGATACAAAAGTGATGCATATCCATTTCCGTAGGTAGTTGCTATGTTAGACAATAAACCTTAGGCTTGGTATGTAATGGAACCCTCTCCTAGATTCCGTATGCCACTATAGCCTTCGTAAACAACGTACATTGATCCATATGACTGAACAGATTTCTTTGTTTCGAAGTAGTAGACGATGGCTGCTGGCGTTAGTTGTTTTTTGTGGTACGGACAGCGTAGATTGCTAGTTGAATTGAAATTGGATGAAAATGACATGCTGCTTTTTAACAGACACGCTCATTATTTGCGATTGTATGACGACATCTTGTATTGTTGTTCGACTAATGCGCATATATTATGCAGGCTTAATTCGAACTTTGACGGCTCCTGCATCGCACATAACTAGTGAGAATACATACAGGGACATACGTAATAGTTATATACAGGGAGTGGTAAGGATAATAAAATATAATGAGGAGAAAGGACTATGCAACCAAAAATTTAAAATAACCAGATACTGTAAAGCATCATAATTTAATGGCGTCAACTGAAAAATTGGCATTTTTGGGGGACCTCTAAATTTGACGTCGTTAAATTATTGTGATCCCTAAATCACAATTATTTGGAGGGATTCTAGTTTGAGAACGCAACAATGGCGGGTCTGTTAATTCTATGATATGTAGTTTTTGTGTTTTTGTGTCATGATCTTAGGGGTTTACAGATCAGGCAGTGCAATTTTGACGTACCATACTTTAACAATTGGCGGTTCTGGGTAAAGATCAGTTCCAGCGACATCTATCCTGAAATTGAAATGCACATGAAAATCTCCTATGTTCAATTCTTAAATATACAAGTTAATGCATTTGTATGCCTAGCAGTTATGCAACCCACTTTACACATGTGACAGTAACACAAACAAATACTATGCCATCAAAAATGAGTTGCTGTCGAGTCACCTTTGGAATTTTTGTTCACATGAGAAATCGTACTTAATTTGAACTTCCAAAGGCGACTCAACAGTAACCCATTTTTGATCGCCCGTTACCTAGTTATTTATTTTACCCAAAATCGTCCTGAAACCTTCATTTTCATGCCTACTTTATGTCATGACATTTTAGTTTCCATGACAGAGGCAGATCAGACTACGTTTCTGTCGCTTGTCACTTTACCGGCCGCACCGTCACGTGTCTGTGACATTGCGAAATGTCTATAATCACTCCTGTCATCACTGACAGATTGACATTAATCAAAAGATTAAAGAGATTTTTTTCACTACTAGCGTCTGATGACATGATTATTAACCTTTTTTCCACTTGTAAAAATGCTTTCTCGGCATTTGTTCAAAGTGGTTAATAATGTGGACATTATTAACTTCTAGTAGTCAATAATGAGAACTGTCACGCTGTCACTTTTAAAAAACACAAACCGAAATTTCGCTCAATAGGTAAACGTTTAGACAAGTTCTCTAAAATGAATAATTGCCACCATCCGCCATTTCCAGAGAAATTACATACATAAAATTATCACGTTTTGAAAAAATTCGAACGAAATTACTCTTTAAAAATATCTCAATGACAGAACAAAATACGGCCTGTTTGACTTGTACTTCCACGTACTTGATTGACATGTTAAATTAATAAACAAAAAATTCTGTCCAACCGTTCACTTTCTTATCAATATAATATGTTAATTTAGAGGACATCGAGTGCTAGTAGTGAAAAAAATAGTATATACACCACGGTAGAGAAGTCTATTATTGCCTTCGCACCTTACACCCCTCGGCGCAAGCGTCTCGAGATGTAATCTTGGTGCTCAGGCAATAATACTGGACTTCTCTACCTTGATATATAATGTACTATTATAATGAAATGCGATTTTGGGTAAAATTTAATACTTAACTCGTCAGTAAAATGACATTACCTGATTCAGAAATTAAAATTCAATATTTCCTCGCCAGTAATGTGTCTAGACATGTGTACAAGACGCTTAATGGGAAAGTTGCGCTTTATTGTTGTGTATACCACAAAACTTTATTTTATAGCAGAAGTCATCTAAATTTAAAACATCCAAAA